TCTCAGCTGCCTATTCAAATACCGAAGCAATTTGCAGAATTTTTATAACTTTTTTACAAAGTTTAAAATATGTTTATATGTATATGTTTTTGTTAGATAATGAACTACATATATCTATTATAAACATTCAATAAACAAAAGAAAACCCTTGTTAAAATGACATGTCCCTATTTACTTTTCCAGCACTGTATATTTTGAAAATCGAATTAAAAATTTAAAATCATTAATTCAAAATGTTTCGTCTTCGCATGGAACATGTTTTAAATTCTTATTAATTGCTAATTTCTTTCAGCAAATTATGTTTTACCAGTCAATAATTATTTATTTTTAGAAAAATATTAAATTTATTATCGAATTTCGTCCATTCTAAGCTCTTCCAGCTGTAGCACTCAAATATTCTTTTCCAGCTGTTTTAACAAATATTTTTTTTTTTAGGCAAAAATTCTTCTTTTACTTAGGCAGCCACCAACTAACATGTTTGTCAGACAGGTTCATAAAAATAAGCAAAATAAAAAATATTTGAGTAACTAAAACATTTCTAGCTAAAAACTCTAAAGAATAGCTACGTAATAGTCTCCGTCTCGCTGGTATATTTTTATGCGAGTTTTCCGTATTTTCGTAGGCTCTTTTCGCCCTCTACTAAAGCAAAAAAAAAAACATTCGCTTTCAACGAAACTAAAATTAGAACGCGTCGCTATAACAACAAATTTTCTATGCCGAGCATTGTTACTAAATCAATGCTTTATTTTTACTTCAAAACACATTCCACAGCAGGAAAGTGCTCGTAAATAAAAAAAAAATATGTATTAAAAATAAAACAAAAAATTAGAGCAAATAAAAAAAGGGGAAAGTAAAAGAAAAAATCATTCAAACCAAGAAGCGTAAAATTTCGATTTTCAGTGCCTATGCTTATGTGCAAAAAAGAATGTTTAGCTGCGCGAAATTACTTTCACCTTAAAGATTCTCAATTAAATTTTTCAGATTTTTATTTTTCATTCCGTTCTCGCGCGTAAAAAAATGCGAGCGTCCGAATTCCTGCTGCGTTAGTTGCAATTTAATTTGGCATTTGCTGGCGCTGGCATACCCTGGCATTTCTCCGCTTTTTCAACGCAACCACTGCACGACCATCAGCAGCGGTGTGCTACCCACTGACCTAATGCCACCGGTTGTGCCAATTTGTAAGTTATGCGGAAATTCGTTTAAGTAGTTTTCATTGTTTCACTTAAAAGCTACGGAAAATATTTGTTTTAAAATTATCAGGGCGTCAAGAAAAGTAGTTGAAGTAAAATAAAATTAGCTTGGGGGATGTTATTATGATTTGTGCGCCTACCTTGGATCTGGTTTTCCTTCAGCTTCACATTCGATGATGAATGGTTTATCACTTTCCTTATTTTGTACTGCGACTTTGAAAAGCAGTTCATCTGTTGGCGGTTGTTTGATGATGCGAGGCGGTGAATTTACTGGAAGAAGTGAAAAAAGATTGATTGTTTAATTTTATGGGAGTTAAAAATATTTTAAATCATCAAGCAATAAAAAATGTCTAATTAAGCTGAAGTCATATTTCGGCATTTCAACCAATTACATAAATAGCTAAAAATAGGCTTAGACTCGCACGTCCAGCAGCTCCCACAGACACATTCATAAGACATTCAGAAAAAATTCTCAGAAAAACATTCGACATGGGTTATAAAAAAAAAGCTGCAATGCAGTCATCATTTGTAGAACACTAAAATTCTCCACCTCTGAACTGCCAGTGATTTAGCAATTTGCTAGTGCAACGAAATAAAAGTGTGGCACTCAATTTGAAAATTTAAATAAAAATATTAGTCAGCAAATCACATAATTCATGAATGAGCCATTTAAAATTAATAGCGAAAATGCATGAGTGCACTCTGTGCGTTGCACATAAAGCGCTCAACTACAGCCTCTCGACGACAGGCTAGTGGGTAAAGAAAATGAGACATAAGCCACAGAAATATAAATAGTACATTTAAAAAATTTTTAAATAGAAAGTGTGTCTTACGCACAAATGAGCGATAGAAGGTGTCCTCTAGGAAAACTGCTCTAATTGTATACATTTGCGTACCATCAAAGGAGGGTTTTACAAGGAGACGGCTTAAACCTGAAAGGAATTGTAAAAATGCAAGAAACGCGGTTAGCTTGAGGTCGCTGCCCCAGATAGGGACACACTTACACCACAAGTGTAAGTGGTAACTGCAAAACTATAGTGAAAAACGCTATGTGCATTGTAAGAAATTTTGCAGACGGCAGATGTCAGTGCAGCAGGCCCCCCCAGAACTGGTTAAAAACTGAGATCCATGGTACGTAGCATCACCAAAGCTAGACAGCTTAAGAGAAAGCACTGAGATATCGTCCTTTATGATTAACAGTTCCGACAGTTTTCGCCAAAGGTACGCCGATCAGCGGACTCCACTCTTTCCTCATTCGGTAAGACCTAATCGGGAGTGTTGCAACGCTATTTCCTGCAATAGCTCCATGGCCCCGTACCCATATAAGCGTGACACAAATGAAGGGAAGCTTTGTCCCAGTTGCGCAGTTGGGCAGCCGTTTGAGTTCTTCCTTCAAGGCACCCACTTCCGCCAGGAAAAACCTACATTGATATGGAAGACTGCATTTGGGGTTAATGGAGAGATAATTCTCGAAATATGACGCTTTCGCAAATTCGTCGACCAATCCGAGCAGAATTTCACCGGTGCCACCTTCCAACTACTACCTCCCATTCACTCAACCTAAGAGGGAATGTAAGGGTAGAAGGGGCTCATTGGTGCCAGTTTAGCCACGAATTTATCTGTGTAATAACCCAGCTAGCAAAATTGCCAGAAATCTGTTACATATCCGTCAGACTCTTCGGCAAAAAAGTCAGAAATCTGTATGCTTTTGGCCGATATCGGTTAGAGAAGCGTATGGAGAGGTTGACAGTAAGTCTAACCGACACGACGTGGGAAATACTGACCGACGATTCTGACGGATATCTAACAGATGTCTGACCAAATAATCATGGAAAATAAGAATTATCAGACGTGTATGCCCGAAATCGGACATAATTCGGTCAGACATATCGGATAAGGAAATAAATAAAATTCTCGATTCGATTATGACCAAAATCCCAGATAGGGTGAGAGAACGCCATCCTGTAGCGGGCATATGTTTACTCTACGGCGAATAGAGTTACTGGCCCCATTCTGCCGAGACATTTATATACATACCGTTACTTACAGAAGTATTCGTTGATTGGCAGAAATATTCAGAATGTCTCCCATTATAAATATTTTCCGTTAATTTTTATTTAAAATATAGCTACCTCTATAACAAAATTCACGAACAAAATTTATTTTTATATGAAAGAAAACGGACGATACAATTGTCGAAAAAATTTTCAGAAATCAACGAAAAGGGCTAAAACCTGCATACTCAAAAAACTTAAAAAAAAAATCGGATAAAAAGGTTTAAAATTTTGCTGACCATTTTTTGAAATACGCTAATTTTTTTCGAAAATTGTAAAAAGTTTGCAACATTGATTTATATGGTTTTTCTTATAGAATGAGCTATATTTAAAATAAAAATTTAAGGAAAAGATTCGTAATGGAAGACATTTTGAATAGCGTGAAAAAAAATAAATAACAAATACTTCTATGGTCCATATATAAGTTTAATTTGGCCGATTCTGAACACCAGCTTATCTACTTAGGCATATGACGATTGACCCCGCAAGGACATTATTAAATGCCTCGTCGATTTCGAGAAAGGCACCCACAGTGAAGTCTTTATACATATGAGGGATTTCCCCTATCCTTTATTTAAGCCAGTTGTGCTCTGGACAGGCTATCGCAAGGAATCCCCTTCTAATATAGAGATCAATCAGCCTCTTTAAACAAAAACGAAGATACAGCTGAATGAAGCCAGAATTCCGGCGGAAAGAGATGTGAAAGTTTCTATCAGTCTTCGAAGTGAGTGAGGATATGAATATCCTCCACCTGGGACCACCCCCGATAAATCAACAAACATTACACTCGTGCATAAATTGGCTTATTCTTTCAACCAGTCGATTTTCCTGCAGGGCTAATTGCCATTTACACAACAGGTGTCTAAAAATACGGATGATTTTTTATTTGTATTTTTTGTGTCGTTGTTGTTCGATTTTTTACGAAAGTGTGAATGCGCAGGTTTACTGACAGATTTACATACATACCCAAAATATAGTAAATAGAACTTACACATTCAATGCAAACGAATAGACGGACAGAGCGACAGACAGTCAGTTTGAAATGCGACCATTGCTTACATTCAAATAGACAGCGTGCTCGCATTCGTAAACATCTATTTTAAAACATTGGCAAGAAAGTTTGTTGTGTATTAAATGAATTTGAACTGCATGTCCACATTTATTTAGAAAAAGTAGGCCAACTAACTATGTAAGTCATGTGGCAGACAGAGTTCAAAGGTTTTTTTTTTGGAATCAGTGAATGAAGTTTAACGAATTGGACAGTATATATTTATATGTATACATATATGTCTTTCTTTGTGAATACTATGAAATCGTTTCCTAACCGAATAATGGACTGACTAAAAATAAGCAAGTCTTTTTCTACATACTATTTATGTACATATCGTTACCTGAAATGCAAAGAGACGTAACAAACATCGTCGTTGAAATGCAAAGTCATAAATAATAAAAAATTCAAAATTCACTTTTTGATTTACATGATGGATTCCATCGAATTACAACTCCCCACATCGTTTTATGAAAAAAAATAAAATTAAAATATTAGTCACGACTTTTTCCATTTCATTTAGGATGTTATTACGTCTTTTTGCATTTCAGGCGACGAAAAGTAGATATGTGTGTAATTTTTTAGTTCAAAATTGTAGAACTCAGTAAAAAACTTCCGTATCGAGCTCTCCAAGACTGAAAATGGAACTGGAGATCGATAGCATCTAAAGTGTAGCTTAGGATATTTTCCTGTTTTAGGTATATTGACAATGGTCTTTCAGTCGATCTTTCCAATACTAAAAATAGGAGACGAGGTATTTAGTGAAAGGTAGAGTGGACATCAAATCGGGGTTTGCAGTGTTTTTTACTTCTCTGAAGACAAATAAGCAAATCAGGAAACTCAGATCTTTAAGGTTTTTAACTGAAATTAATATAATTTAGCAATATTTTTCAAAAGTAGTCACTGTATAGTTTTTATAACTGATTGGTATTTTTTTCCTTAGTACAAATATTTAGAAAAAACTGGATTCACGCTAATCAATAAAACCACCCCCTTAGACCCATCGGTCGTCAAGGGTTAAGATTTTTCGTTTGCAAAAATGTGGCAAATTATATGCCATGTTTTTTTTTAGTAATCCACTTGTTCATTTTTGTCACAAAAATGGGTCAAATTACCCATAGAGGTCAGACAGGATGACACGAAATTCCTTCTCAGACAGAGAAGGAGTGGAGTGTGCATCGGTAAACGCACATGGCCGGGCAACATTACCATTAGTTAGTACCAGGTTGACCGAACTTTGCCCGGATTGCATATACTTGTACAAGTTTTCAAGGTTTGAATATCAAATATTGGTCATTTGGATAGCTTTAAACAAATATTTTTGAAATAAAAAAAAATTTAATCTCGATATCTATTACGTAAATTTCTTAAGCAAAAACTTTGGTGGCAACTCTATTCCGAAATACACTGGTATGAATAGAACATATCTTGAGCGTATATGTACTGTGTATACACAAAAAAAATGCTGATTGAAATTAACAAAATAAAAATTTGCATAACATAGAAGCGTGGCAACCCTGATCGAAAATATTTTCCAACCAAGGTCCTCAAAAATACCTTTCATTTGATATCCATATTGCAATTTTTTAGATAAATTCTGTAGAATTTAAAATAAGTGGCAACCTTACGCTACTATCCTAATGGATACAATTTTGTATATAGGGAAAAAGCATTGTTTAAGAATCTTCTCTTGGTACCGATGAATAGTAATATTTTACCTTTTTTTCTAAACAACAAACAAATAAACATGCGATTCAAAATAGGTGGCAACCCTATCAAATATATTTTTAAATTAGGGATCTTTAAAATGCCCTCCATTTGATGCCCATATTATGAGGTTTTAATTAATTTGTAACTAATTTCGAATAGGTGGCAACCTGGGTAAAAAATTTCATCAAAATCGTTAGGGCCGTTTCGGAGAACCCATGTATACATATATATATCTACATATACATATATCCAAGAATTGCTCGTTTAATGTAAGAAGATATTATAATTTTAGTGGTCAAAAAAATATTTCTGCCATCAAAAAGTGGTCGCTGCATGGAATTGACAATCGAATACAAATTAGATATGTCATGACACCATAATTGGGGCCAAATCCAGGTACTTTTCCCCTAAGCATTCTCATGCTCCATTCAAAAGCAGAAAGCAACAAATAGGCTTTGTTGTAAACAATCAGCAATTTGAATGCCAAACGCAAGACGAAGATAACGAGCGAGACAGCAGAAGCAGCAGCAGCAGCAGCCAAGACAGTCAGTGTGTCTAGTACACGATTCAATTCCAAATAACATTGAAACCGCACTGCAACAATAAACGTATTATGTGCAATACACAATTTGAAATACAATAGATTAATTTTACACACACTTTGCATATACATACTTGTTTAGTATGGACGAAAGATTCGACAAGCGGTGAACAGGGAGCAAGAGATGAGTGGTTTGACGTGTAGAAGTGGCTGCATAGAAATAGTACCTACTATAACTAGTGTATGCATATAGGCGAACATGCCACATAGGCATACATACATGTGTATGTATGTACCCTGCAAAAAATTGCTCGACTAATCTCTAACGAGAGTATTCCGAGATTACTCTCAATCGGGTACAATTGGGCATTAATTAGTCGCAACTAGTCTCATACGGGTACCAATGGAGATTAATTAGTGTCGACTCATCCCTTACGGGTACTAAATATTAACGATTTAATGATATGTACACACTATGAAATTTCACGTGTGGCGTGGGCACACTGAGAAAGTATTCGCTTAGCGGCTGGCGCAAATTTTTATTTTGATTATTTTAAAGTGACTAGTCGCTTTTTGTACCCGTTCGGGTATAAAGGGGAACAATTAGTCTCAGTTCATTCCATATAAAGAGATCAAAAGTGATGCAATGTGGAACGATATTCCGGCATCCCTTGTCAATTTTTGTTTGGAGACAAACCGGTTTCGGCGTTGTGCCATCTTCCGTGTAATTTTGTGGTATTAGTCGCATGTTCCTTTGCGACTGCTCTCGGCATCATCCCGGATTAGTCGCATTTTTTGCAGAGTACCTCAAAGCGCATGTCTATCGAAATGGCGTCATGCCACAAATTACATGAAAATCGTGGACAATTGTATGGTTTTGTTTTGCCTTTTCTATGGATAAGAGGAAAGCATTTGATGATGCTGGCGAAATGAAAATGAATGAAGCATAAAATAGGCGGGCTGCTGCATGTTTGGCTTTGACGTACTGTCTGTATGCCTTACTGCTGATAGTGGTTCGATTGGAGAGAGCGCTGCAAGCGATGTTAAGCTGGGCAGATGGGTACGAATCGCATGTAAATACTAAACAACTATATGTTCCCGACTGTGAAAGAAACCTTAATGATTGAATGCGGCGAATGCAAATGTGGTTTACACGTTCATCGTATGGACGAAGGCGGTTAGGTGAGAGGTGCAAACAAGTGTGGAGTTTATGTAAAGGCAGTTACAATGAGATGAACATAAATAACAATTGATAAAAATATTGAAGCTTAACTTATTGCAGTAGAGGCGCAGCAGAGTGGTGGCTTTCGAGCAACTTTCACTAATTCGAAAAAATTGAAAATAAAAATTATAATAACAAGAAAGTTCATTTCCAATCTGAGTAAAGCAATTTTCGAGCAGATTACATGAAGTAAACATTTGTTTAAATAGGTATGTATGTATGAGTGCCCTGTACTCGCCAGTATTTGAGGTTTAACTACACTAAAAAAAAAATCAACTACACTTTAACAAAGCTAACTCGCGTTCGCTGAGTTGACACGAGCCTCACCTTTCTAAGAGAAATCCACAACAAGTCAAGCGAACTTCCAACCCTCTTTTCTTGGTGATACTGGTTCGAGGAGTCACTTCTGGCCAGTTCAGCTGCCACACGGTTTCCTGCGATATCACCATGGCCTAGCACCCATACAAGTTTGACAAGGTAATACTCCGACGCGACCGGAAGAGAATTTAGGCATTCCCGTACAAGCTTACAGCGTACCGTAAGCAAGCCCAGAGCCCTGATTGCCAGCTGACTGTCTGAGTAGATCCTAATTAACTTAAACGTCAACGCTCGCAAAAGCAAGATCAAGCCTAAATTTAAGGTTGATGGAACTCCCTGGAAAAAAACTCCACCCACCCTTCCCTTAAGCTCCGACTCATCCGTATAGAAGTTCACTAGTGCCTCCTTCAAACCACTGACTCCATTCCTACTGACTAGCGCAGGCTTCTCTAGTGCATTCCACCAGACGAGGACTCCATTAAACAGGAAAAAACTTTGGAAAAAAGGCACTATCTCTTATCTATGGTATATAAAACTAGAAGCTTTAACTTTCAACTAAAAGGGACAGGGTATTCACGAAATATTTGCCACACATCCAAACATTACTTCGGTTAAATAAAACATTCCACAAAACGGCATACCACCTATCTTTACATTTCTAGTAACATCTTACATCTATTCTAATATTCATTGTATGTACTTACTCTCGGCAGTTGAAGAGCCTAAAACGGCCACCAGCAGCAGGACGGCCAGCGTTTGTGACAGCCGCCCCATCCTGGATGTGTCTGGTGTGTTGGTATGTGTACGTATTTTATTCCTGCACGCAATACGAGCAGGATGCTGTTGATATTCCTTGTTTGAGTTGTGGTTTATTTGTCGAAGCTCTCCTTCTACAGAAAGAGAGCGTTGTCTGGAATGTTCAGTCTATGCAAATATGTGATTACATGAGGAATATGGACGACATTTGTTGTAGTGTATGCACAAATACACACAAATCTAATTCAATACGTCTAAGTGCTATATGCACTAAATGAGTATGCTTGGGAATAACTTTACACTTATGCAATTTTAATAAATTTGAAAATTATACCTAAATTGAAAAAAAAAAATAATAACAATAATTTGAAATATGCATAAAATATGAAATGGAATGCTTATTAAATTCACTTAAGCACAGAACACCAAAACACTGGGGAGTAATGCGAATATCGGTTGTATTATAATGTATGCATGTTTTGTGCGATGTTTGCAAAGCGAGCTGAAATGAGAAGAATTGAAAAAAGAAATATGTACATTATTATTAGAAATTCGTTGTAAATTATTTAAAAAAAGTGAAGTGAATTTAGATACTTATTTCAAATCTTATGAGTAGTCAAAACTGTTTTCCTAAATCCGTATTAACCTTTTCAGATTTCATTCAGTTTCAAAGTTTTGGTGGCCAAAGTGCTTATAACTTAGACGAGAAAACACTCAGCTGAAGGTCTTTTGAAAAGACGGTCAAAACGAAGCGAATCTCGATGGCGTAGCGACATTGGGCAGGAATGTAAAACTTACTAAGTAACTATTGTTGAAATAATCTTTCAGGTACAGGAAGTTGCCAAGTCATTTCCATTTTGTTTGATTAGTAAAAGTGATCTCTGTTCTGGCACTCGCGATGACCGCGGTGCACGAAGAATAAACAATTTTCCACTAATTTTCCCAGCGTGACATAGGCTTTAGACAATTTGAAACTGGATATAATGCTGGATATGGGCAGAAACTCTTGGTAACGTAAAAACTAAACATAATTTCTGATTATTTAAAAACTAGATATACATTTTTGGTAATTTGAAAGCTGAACATAATTTTTTGGTAATTTGAAAACTGAACATAATTTTTTGGCAATTTAAAAGCTGGACATAAATTTTTGGTCAACATATGTATATATTTGATCATTGAAATCCTCGTCAACATTTTTTTTGTAATTCATAAATTGAACATAACTTTTGGAAATTTAACCACTGGATACCTATACATTTTTGCGCCTTTAAATACAAGGCATACATTTTTGGACATTTGAAAACGGGACATAAATCTTTGGTAATTTTAAAACTTTGTTAAAAAATACCGGATATATGTACATTTCTAGTCCTTTAATATCTTGGCATAACTTTAATGATTTTGCTTATTTATAAACTGCACGGATTTTTCTGGTAACTTATAAATTGAGCAGAAATCTTTGGCGAATCAATTTTTGGCCATTTAAAACTGGACATAAATTATTCGCAATTGAAAAAATGCAAAAAGTTTTGGGAAACTCCAAAATGGCCATCAATTTTTTCGTATTTAAAAACTATGTAAAATTTTTTGGTATTTTTAAATCAGGACATAATTTTTAGACATGTCAAAAATTGCCCTTTAGTTCAAGATTTAATATAATTTTTTGAAAATTTAAAAACTTGAAGTACATTTTTAGCCACTTAAAACCTGGTCATAAAAATTGTATGGAAATGTCGTGCCACGTTGGTATCTCTGAGTCATATCAACGTCACTCTATGCTGGGTCACTGGACATTAAAATATTGGATGGAATGAGTCGGCTGATAAGACTGTGAGATCGCAAGATTACTATGGCCACGGTTTAATAGGAAAAAATGCGAAAATAGATCTGCAGTAAGAGTTCTTAAAGTTCTTTTTTTCTTTTAACTTACTTTCTATATTTTTTTATTTATTTTTTGTTGAAAACGTAAGCCATTCTACTTAAAACATCTGCCATCAACTGCCTTCTAGTGTTATAAAGAAGTTACTGAACCTACCCAACTCAAGCCAAGCCTCCATAGAATAACTGTGAAAGCAAACATAAAGAATAGCTGAGTAGGTAAGTATTTAGTTGTGGAATGATTCAAAAGCTTTGTAGACCTTTTTGATGAAAAGCAGAAAAGCAAACAACAACAAAAGTCACATGGAAAATCAGCTGAAGAAGAAATGCATAAAATGCAGCTCAAAAAAGGCGTAGAAAGAAATGCATAAGAAGAAAAGTTCCTATTTATAGACAACTCGGACAACTGTAAAAAGAAAACGAAAGCGAATGAAGGAAAATAAGCTTCATTGCAACAAAGAGTTCGTGCGCAGAATGTGTAAAAAAAGGCATACGTTAATTCAATTAGCACCCCTTTGAAAAGTAGAAAAAAGTCTAGACAAAAGCGGTTGAGCGCCGAAAGTAAAGGGTTGCCAGTAGACATGCGCTTTGAAAGCTCAACTATGGAACCTCGACTGAAAAGGCAGACTAAAATACTCACTGAAACGAATCAGAACGGCAGCAAAGCCCTACGCTGCACAGCAAATTGTAGTTGGAAAATTTAGAATTAATTTGAAAAATCAAGACCACTAAAATGGCATTTTTAATAATTTGCGTTGGACATTTTTGGAAACATTAACTGCTGTGGAACACCAAAATTCTATTAGCTGCCGTTAGTGATTGCGGGTGAGTGAGTACAGCGAAAGGCAGGCCATAGGGTTCCTAGTAAAGAGCGTGGCACACCGAAGTAAGTAGGCGCGTGGGGCTTAGGGGTTATTCAAGGATTAATTGTTTACTTAATTGCAGTTCAAATTGCCAACATGGATTTTAAAAACTTGTGCCAGAATATCGATGTAAGCAGCCTGCGAGGTATGTATGTACATATGCACGTTCGATTGCATGCCTGCTTTTGCCACGCATTTGCTGCATTTGTGCGCTTGTGGGTCAAGCTTAGTGCCACTCAATGCCACTGAAAATCAATACTTCAATGCAATTTTTTTTTTTGCAAACGTCAGCCATTTGTGGCGATTCATCCGCTGCTGCACGCCAACATGCAATCACACACACACACATACACCCATACACAAATCCAACAATTTAATTATTTATCCGCTCATTAATTCTCTTTGGTTTTTTGCCTTTTAGCGCGAATTCCCTCATTGCCTGCTATGCCAGCAATGCCGCAAATTAAATTGCCAAAGTCATTACCGAAATTGCGCCCGCGTCGCATATTCAGTCGGTCGCGCGAGGACCTTAGCCGCGACAGTAAAGGGTCAAAGAAGGAGCAACAACTGCAGCAGCAGCAACAGCATTCGCCATTCCAACAGCTGTCAGTGCGCCCACCCATACCGCCTGCTGATTTTGTAAATCATTCACCGCAACGCATTTCGACCATTTCGTCGCTGATGCATCAACAAAAGCGCGGCGACTCACAACGTGGCACCTATCGCAGTGCCTGCAGCGTGGACGATGACTACCCGAGGCCGCGTGAATTTGAGGTACCCGAACGATTGTCACGTCCCATAAGTCCCATACACACATCCATTAGTGGTGTAACGAATGAGCGCGATGCTGAGGGCGGCGCTGTGGCGAAAATGTCTCTCAGCGAAAAGTTGCAAAAGGGATACAAGGACATCACCGAATTTCGGCTGAGTCACATCTTTGCGAAGAAGACAGTGGTGCGCAGAGATGTCATACAAGTCGATCACTATGTGGAGCGCTTCAATGAGGACCGTGAACGTGAGCGAGCCGAGCAGGAGCAAAGGGATCGCAAAATTGCGGACAATTACCGTTTCAATTTCAAAGTTTCGCGACAGGACACAGACAACAGCAAACGCAGTATGAGCTCGGACGACTCACCCAAGCAGGAGCCGCAAAAAGGTGGCAAGACCGTGCATGTGCAGAGCGAAGACGAGAGCGGCATGGAGGCTACGCCACCACCACGGAAACCAGGCATTGCCTCAACGCGTTTCGCCAGAGTACGCAATCCACCACTCGAGCAGTATATTTCCGATGACAGCAACAATGAGCTGGACGAGGATGAGGAATTGCCAGTCGATAGAGGCGGCCATCAGAAGCAAAGAATCGTGCAAAGCTCACCAGAGAGCGGGCCTAAAGCGCCTGCAGAGAGTAGAGGCGCTAAGGCGCTTTACAAATTGCGCAGCTTGGGCAAACGTAGCGAGGAAACGCCAGAGAAGTTGGGTGAGAAGAAACGTCGCGCGCCACTATCACCACAGCAATCGGAAGAGAAGCCAGAGCTCCCAATCGCAGCAGAGAATGATAATCCGCTTAGTGTCTTGAAACAGAACATTAAACGCTTCTCGAAATCGATAAGGCGTACACAAGAAGCCGACAGCAGCGGCGCAGCGAATCCTGCTGAAGACACTGAGGGCGAAGGCACGCCTAAAAAGGAGACAAAGCAAATAAGTCGCACTGAAAAATTAGCTGCGCGCTTGCGGAAGTTCGCTTCGCATGAAGCATCCACCGAGAATCTCGATGAAACAGCATCGCCCAAGCAATCGGAAGAACAGCGCTCACCCATACGCGCCGCAATTAGCAATAAGCTGCAGACGTGGAAGAAGAGTTTCAAGCGCAAACCAAATGAGACCGATGGCGCCCAAACCGGCGAAGAAACGTCGCCTGAACGGGAGGGTGACAAGGAGAAGCGCACGGACAAACTGATGAAAAAACTACGCAATATGCGGCAGCGTAAGCGCGCCAGCTCCACAGACGATCTCGATGGCACCGAAGACGGAGCCAACCAGACACCCACAGGCAAGTCAAAGGACGACAACTGCCGGCGTGCTGTGAACTTCGAAGAGCGCTTTGAGCAGGCACGTAAACGCACGCTCAAGAAGGTGAATGAGAAAATGCAGCAGATCAAGTTTTTTCACAAGTCTCAGGAGAATATCGAAAAGGAGAGCGGCGGCGGCAGCAAGAAAGACGCTGGCAAGCCAGCCGAGCAGGAATACGAAGATCAGTCGGACGATGAACGCACTATCTATGTACGTCCACATACCGCTGCAAGACGTGCAGCAGCACGCGACACGCCAAGCGATTCCGAAGAAGAACAACAGCCAGAGAGTGAGGAGCGCGTCGAGCAAATTAGGCACGTTGAGCGCGAGTTTGACGGCACCCATATACAGCATACGCGCGCAATTTGGACAACCAAGAATCTACTCACTGACTCATTGGATTCCGAAACTGACACAGAATTACCACGCGTACTTATTCATCAAGACAATTCCGACCAATTTGAATCGACGCTAATTATAGCAGTGACTCGGCCCGCGCCGCCAGTGACACCCACCACACCAATTATAGAGGAAATACACGACGAGCCGCCGATGAAGCCATTAAGAGCCAGTCGTACTCCCAGCCCGGGTAGCAGTCGCGCCGAATGGATACCAAATAATGAAATTATATCCAGTTTTCTAGAAATAACACCACCAAGCAAGCGTCGC